AATAATTGACCTCCTCGAGCTTCGCTTTGGGAGATTCCTCGAAGAGTCCCTTGTTTTCTTCGACTCCTGTGGAATCTCCTTTAGGAACCACAGGGAATCGTCTCGAGACTTCTGAGTCTCAATAATTTTATCAGAGTCTCGGAACTCGGTCACCGTTCGTCATACGATTCTGTGCCCATCGGCTCCGGAATAAGTCTCCGGACGAATTTCGATCAGAGACTTCAGACCGACCTTTCCTCCGGAGCAGACGTCTCCCCGCAGGGTATGACTACCGTAGGTCTCCTGTTCGGAAGAATATCCGGGGAGGAATGCTCCTCCCTGATGTCTTCCGAGCACGACCGAGAGCTCTTCCGTCATATTCCTGCGCGCATATTCCCTTCGATCGTCGAATTTGAACTTCCGCAGTTCCGTTCCGGCTCGCATCGAGTTCTCGTGGATGCAGAGAGGAATGCATCGAGGATGTGATTAATCACAGAATATCCCGTATACCAGAGCTGCCAGCGCTTCAGATCCTGACACAATGAAATCGTCAGAAATGCGCGCAGGATTTACTGGACATTGACGAGTGAGAGAGCATGACAGCTGCTTCGTCTTTTTCGAGAAAGATGCTCGAGATCTACCAAGTTTGACTGCTGGAGCCTAGGTCAGCGAAAGACTGTAATTCCAATTGTCTCGACGCTTCGTCAGAAGCACTGATCCATGAGCCAGACCCTCGAATAGGGGTTTCGGCATAGCCCCCCTCCTTTGGATGGAATTGCCGAAGAATCATGCCGATCATCTCAATCACGAAGGAATGGGAGAAGCAAATCGTGTCTATCGGCTCGGTTCACCACACCGCGGTTCGCTTGATCGGACTGCCCTGGATCTGGCTCGATGTATTTGAATTCCGTGCCGTTCGGGCTGAGGTCCAGTTGGTACCAGCCACGTTCACAGCTGCTGGAGCACCGCGACCGTGACCTTTACACTGACGATGAAGTTTCCTAGTTCTTGGAAACCTATGATCACAGAGGACCCCATTAAGGGTCAGCGTCTATCCGACCCTAGACTTCTATTATTTCGTTAGCATTCCACCGTGGCTGAGCACCGTTGTGAGGGACTCGCTTGATCGACCTCCTTCCGGGACCAGGCTCCTAGCTCTAACTAAGCTATGAAAAGAGGTGGCCGCTTGAGTGGATATCTTCAAGTCTGACTAAATTACAAGTTTCTTCTGCCCAGCCAAACTCTCTAGCTGACACGCAAGGGGAATCGGATCGATCCCGGAACCCGCATAATCCGCCTGCTACTGAGATTGGGAGTCCAGACAAATACCTCCGACCGGAAAAAGCCATTCACGAGCCGTCCTGCCGCTATCTGTGAGATCACTTCAGGTTTCACGAAGTGAATGTCTCGTCTTTGCACGGAACGTCATCTCTCCGACCTCTTCGCTCTTAATGGAGACCACAAGATAAAGTTCGCTCGTACATCAACAATAGACTTTGTCGATTCTCGCCATCAGCTTATCCGAGATCCTCCCTCGTGATGAACTCAGGATCCAGGGAACAGACCAATCAGAAGAGAGCTTCAGGATCCAGATGACAACAGGTCAGATACGGATGCCTAAGAGTCGTCTAAGCGAGTCGAAGAGAGCAGGTCTAAGAGTCTCTCGATCAGTTGACTTTCTCGTCTGATGACTCCTTCGATTCCAGTGGTTCCCGCATGAATGCTCTCATTTTGATATTGATTCCTCTCTCATTCCAGAGCTCGGATTGCAGCAATCCTATGTCGCCAGCAACGGCAGACACGAAGACGACAGCTACAGCTCTTGCCTGCCTTTGTTCCAGTCCGGGCTGAAGCCCCGGCTGAACTCAATTTCCGTCGCCCACGATCGCGCTGTAGTCACCTCGAGCATTTTGATCAATATCTATAGAAGGTCTAGACGTCTAGACGACCACGGAGGGGGAAGTACTTACCATACAAAGGATGCGAGATGTTCCCAAAAAAATTAGATGATATTATTCAAAATATTGCGTATCAAAGCGGAGGATGAGACCTGGACTTCCAAAACGTTTTCAGTAAAATGCTGTTCAGAAGGGACTCTCCAAGAATCAGCTCTTCTCCGGACGTTGTTTCCAATACCCTTGGTGGAGCAGAGCGCCGCAACATAGGAGACAGACAGCAACACTGCTCTCATGATTCTTCACGGGAGATTCTCGATAAATGCAGTGTTCCATCATCAGTGTAGGTGAGGGGCGAAACCATTTCACCGCTGGCTCTCGCAAAACTCACCAACGATACATGGCTCAGGAGTAGGAGCAGGATCTCGATGAGGAATGAAAACTGGGCTGCTCATAAATGGGAGGTCTCTACAGCTTATCACGACCCAACGACGACATTAGACGTGAGACGAGGTACTGGCAATACATTTGGGCTCCGTCATAAGCTGAGTTTGTTCGAGCATGCTTCACGACCCGACGTAGACGTATCGGGTACTCAGCATGGGCAGTGAGAACCCGAAGGAGAATAATTCCTTCCGTCCTATTTGTTCTTTATTCCATGTATAGGAGCTGGCCGCTCCGCATACCTACTTAGGTATGCGGACCTTCATCGAGAACATCCGGATTGGAGCCCAGATAGCTAGATGGGGAAGAAGGGGATTGCACGGGATTTATTCTGTTCATGAATTCATTCATGACGCGTGTGAAAGGTGTTTGTGGAAGATGCTATTCCCTAAGCCGGCAGAGTCGCCCGAGTAGCTCGAAGGCCTTTTGCTGGAACTTTGCTTGAACTTTGCATCGTAATCCGCTTTCTCGAATGAGCCGCGGGAAGGGCTCGGGCTGCTCCGTCTGTCACTCTCTCTAGCTCGCAAGTTTCCATTGCCAGTCGGAGATATTACTAGCCGAAGCAAGAGCCCTTACGGCTTCTCCGAGTAAGAAAAGCTCTTCCCGGCTCCTCCAGACGGCATTTCCCATTTCCCGAGAGATCTCCACGTCGGCATGTAAAATGAATTCCTTAGCCGGGGAGGCTCCCCATCGGAACTGGTTTGATATTATGATAGTGCGGGGGACAAACAGCTCACCAAATTTTTGAGGTTATTTTGAGCGGTACGCGCGAGGTTGCAGATATTCAAGCGGAAGGTTTTGCTGAGTCCTTTCCTGAATGCGTTGGCATCATTGCCGAAAATACTCTCACTCGAGACTGGAATAATTGCAGCGGTTAGTCACCTACCGAGGACCCCCGTGGGATATATGCATCAGAGGAAAAAAGAGCTCACTTCCGCAAATCTCGAACTCGGTGGCATCGAGCGCCCCAACCACTGCCATAAGCAGCAGAGGTATGACAACCAATGCAAATCTCATATTGTATCGGCTTCTTGACAACTGATCGAAGACCGCACTTTTATGCGAAGGGCTCGCCTATTCACATGTCGACTGAATTCACGACACCTATCTGGCTGCAGCTTTCGACGCATTACTTTCACCGCACTCCAGAGAATGGAAATGACCTGAAGGGGAATCTAAACTCATGTCTGAAGCGTTGACCACTTTCTTCCTGAACTGCCTGTCATGTAGGGATATTGTTATCTAGGTGAGACCTCTATCCATAGCTGAACTACAGGCTGACATTTTGGTCGATTTACCCTACAGAAAAGCCTCTCGGAGTCGAATCCGCTCCAGTGGTCGCCATGAAGATCGCTACTCCGTGTTTTCAATTCGCGTTCGTCCTTTCGGGTGTTCTCGCGGCGGATGGAGCTTTCGGCATTTGCATGCGTAAGAATCTACTTCTTAACACTTGGCTCACCGGTGGCAGGGAAACCCAGGGTACCTTCAGAATACACATTTGAATCGCTTGAGAGCGTATTCTCGAATAATGACCTGATGCTTCTTCTACTTCTCCATCGCATCAGTGAGACTGGAAGCTGCGTCTGACTTCGAAGAGATCTCCGCTTCCTTGAGAACTCAGATTTGCAACGTTGCCAAAACCTTCTACGCAAGCTTGATAGTCCAAGTAAGTAAATCGACCTGCTTATGATCGGAAACTCGGAGGCGAGTTTCGCTCAAAATTCTTGAATACGTCGAGGGAGTCAATCGAGCATGATACCTATCATCGATTTCCAGCTGAACGCTGAAGCCTTAAGAGGAGCGACACAGAGTTGGGGCCGAGAGAGATTGAAACCTTTGCTCGACGCTCTGGTCGGAGCTTATAACTCGCTTTCCACCGCGAATAGGAAGATCTGGGACGCGAATTACATCATTGATCCCGAAACTCTACACGCCAAATACCGATCTTGAGCGTAGCAGTCCGACGTAAGCTCCGGCATCAACTTGTCAAAGACGACTCTGTATCAGGTCTGGCATCACGAGCCTCAGTCAGGCTCACGGAATCCGCAAGCAAGCCAATGAAGCGCAGATACTTTTTCGAAAGTGCTCTGAAAAGTAGAAAGTCGTTTTTTCTCTGAATTCGAAGAAAATGAGGAATGGTCCATGAACTGCGCTTGCATCAGAGATCCCTCGACTCATTTCAATAAAAACACTCCATTCGACAAGGGAGTCTTTCAACGATATCGAGAATTCCTGGGGATCTATCGCGCAACCCTCGATTGAGCTTGCTGGCGAGCAATGCGATAGGTGACACCGCTCATCCTTCGGTGTCGTGGGAAGCCAAAGCGGGAACGGATTGATCCGCGTCGCCTTCCATATAATTTCCAGGCACCTACCTACATGATGACGTCTTTTGATCTTCTGTCACTATCAGACAATACATATGCGCTGTGCGCTGTAAGTTATCGGCTCCCCGGAGCATTCGTGGAGCGCCGCGGAATACGGAGGTGTGCTTTCTTCGTACTTCACCATTCACCCTGAGCCACGGCGGGTAGCCTGCGGGATCCGGATCTCTCAGTCTCGGAAGTGGGGGAAGACTTCCGTTGAGAGTCCAGAAAAGCCCGCCCCTGCCATGAACATTTTAAAGACCGCCTCGTCGAGCGCTCCCCCGCTTGTGATCTTGATTGTTTCGGGCCGTGTTTTGAGAGTGGACAAACTGGCAGAAGAGCAGTCAGTGAATTGCCTGATTTCTGCTGAATCACTTGTAGTGGACCAGTTTCCGGTCGTTCGCTTAAAAATCGGTTCAGAATGGTGTTGGAGAGTACTGTAATATGGTGAGTTACGGGCTGCAGAACCTCATGACGCCCCCTGCCCAATGACGTGTGTAGGCCTTAGGAATCATGCTTCGGAATGTCCGTGAATGCTAGCCCCTCCACCGGTGTTGGAGCCGAAAAAAGAATAATTGACGGAGATCTCCGACTGCGCAAGTCACTTCCATGAGTGAACTTCAGACCGAGGCATTACAATGACCGCTGTGGAGTTCGCCCTCGATACATGATGCTGGAATGGACGGACTCTTTTGTCCGAGCCATTTATCCAATTTTCTAATCGATCTTTCAGTGTCGACAACTCAGAGTTCATGCGCAACGGTGACTTCCCCCCGACAAGGCTCCAGTCGCAGCAAGACGCGGTCCATCTCTTATGCCACGCGAAGTCTCGATCTAACCCCGAGAACAATCTTGGACTGCTCACTCTGGCCACCAATGAAGTGCTCACCACTCTCACATCTGACAGAGATCGCCTCATGAGGAAATTGCGGGCTATCGAGCCGCAGGGCAACCTCCAACTGATCTCTGGGCTCCGAATCGCGCACTTGGTCCTCAAGCATCGTCAAGGGAAGAATCACAAGATGCGAATCGTGTGTTTCATTGGTGAGTCTTAAAGACTACCATGTGGGATTGAGGTCGATTCCCTTGGAAAGATCCTCAAGGAGAAGTTATTAATTGATGTGATTGATGGTTTGGAAACTCGAAGTGATTGACGATTGATCAACAGACATGAGCTCGATGTGAACTGATAAATAGGGGGTAGGAAAAGTCTCCCCATTCCTTGAGGCATGCGCTTTCGTTCCTAATTCATCTCTAATCCTGCTCTCCCTCTCCCAGGGTCTCCGATCAGTTGCGATGTCAAGGACTTGGTGAAACTTGCGAAGCGCCTGAAGAAGGAAAATGTGAACGTAGACGTCGTCAATTTCGGAGAGTGCGAAATAAACACCGAAAAATTGAAAACGTTCATCGAGACCTTGAATGGAGGCAAAGACAACGCTGGCTCCCATCTGCTGACTGTGGCTGCAACCTTATTCCTGAGTTCTGCGCTGAACCGATCTCCTATAATTCAAGGAGAAGACGGTGGCGAGGCTGTACCGGCAGGCGGCTTCGAATTCGGTGTAGATCCGAACGAGGATCCTGAGCTTGCGATGGTAATATATTATTTCTGAGAATTCACCGGACCCCGAATAATTAGTACCTGTGGGAACGGGGACAAATCCTGGGACCTCTCTGTCTGCAAGTTTATGTTGAGACCCGGACCAATCGGTTTTCAGGCGCTGCGTGTATCATTGGACGAGATGCGTCAGCAAGCCGAAGCTGCTAAAACGGAGCCATCTACGTCTGCGACGGGAGGAGCTCCCTCGGCCGAGGAGGAAAGCCTTGAGAAAGCTCTGAAAATGTCTATGCAGCAATCTCAGCCGGCCAACTTGAGCGCCATGACTGAAGACGAACAGATGGCCTACGCCTTGCAGATGAGTCTCCAAGATCGTAAGTGCATTATTCCATCGAGCGCTACTCAGAGCGAAAACATGGGACCAAAAAAAAGTTCAGCACCGTCACCAGGAGTCCTCCGTTGCGGAGAATCCGCAAGAGAGACTGCTGCATGTGGTGGCCATACCTAGATGCTAATCCGATAGATATTCCCGTACATTCTCTCGCTTGCTTTCAGAAGAGCCAATGGAGACCGATGATGCCACGAAGAAAGAAGAGAAGAAGGTTTGTGTACCTCTACTGCTCTCGCCCGAACGGCCTTTCACCTCAATCGCTCTCGAGGAGAATTGGCTCATTGAGATGTTCCCATGAATTATTTCGGAAGCCCGGTGCGACATTGCAAAGCTGTAGACTGAATTTTTCTTCTCGTATTCCAGGAATGAGGCCGTCGTACGGATCTATATAGACATATTTCCAACAGTATATGGCGAAATAAATGAATCATTTTATGCCGAATTCTTCCATTTGAAGAGTATTCGATCCCGGCTGTTAGGCCGGCGAACATGAGCGTTTTCCAAGGAGTCTGTTGCGTCGGAACTTTCGTAAGGTCATTTATTTCTCTTTCGAAGCGGTGTTTACAAGTCATTTCTCCTAATTTCTGAGCTCTGTCATTCGGTTAGCGAGGCTGAAAACATTCTATCGAGGAGAACTTTGTTCTCTCAAACAGCCTTTCTCCATCATTCATTTTAATATTGCTACTCGACGAAGATGACTCGGTCGGAAAGTCTTCCCGGGGAATCCATTGAGCGTAGAGAGAACCTTCATGCCACGTCAAGAAAAGGTAGATTGAATTTTGTCCCAGCTGCTTTCTATCATCCGTCGAAGCCAGGAACAGTCGCTTTTAGTAAATAATGTAATTTGGCGGAATAGAACGAATATTGCAATGAAAAACCTAAGAAGGCAGCAGTCAGACCAGGAATAATTTTCATTAAATCAACCTTCACATTCCTAGAGAGTTGAAGAACTAGACTTTTCGACGTAGTAGTATGCTGGGCTTCTTGAGAGGTGACCTGCGGAGACGTAGAATTTTTTGAGCATGTGATCAAGTGATCACTCAATGATGATTGGATATGGGGTACAGGACAGAACGCGAGTGTGTCCTCGATATGTGCTAGGGCGCTCGGACTTCTAGCGTCTGATTTTCACCTGATAAGTTTCTTGACTGGACTGTTCTCGACACTGCGCGGCTGGTCGACGTTCGACATTTTCCGTGCCACGCCGTTCTTCCGATCCTCCTCGAAAAGACGGACCATCCCCTCCAGGTTGTACCTGCGATTGGACTCAAAGGTTTAGAAGGCGGCGCACTCTCATTTCGAGATTCCGAAAGTATTCTCCGTCGAATGCCACAGCTGAACGAGAGTACAGATTGTGAGATGGACGGCGCCCGTCGAGTCTTTGAGAACACTCACCTTTCGCGATAATTGGAATAGAAGACTTTGACTTGTGCCTCAGTCTTGCTTCCCATCAGTTTAGAAACAGCTTTGAAATCTTTTCCATGGAGCCGAATCGCGTGAACGGCCATGATAAGTTCGCTATCCGTCCACGCGGTCACCTGGGTGCTCCTCTTGTTGGAGGTACAGAGCTTCTTGTATTGTTCGATCTGCTTGTCGTCTCTCGTTCGCGAGATTTCTGACTTGAGCTGAGCCGACTGGTTCCTGAGCTTTTCGACGGTAACTTTCGGCTTGTGATCCTCGTGGATAACTGTGCGGATTTCATCGACACCAAATCTGAGCCTCTGAACACCAGGGCCTGAGCACTTCCTCCTGAATAACAACTTGACATCGGTTGTGGGTTTTCTCGGACGGCCTTTCTTGACCGTTCGGCCGGGGTTATAGTCTGGATCGAAATGACTCGGCTCCGGTGGCTCTCGAATTTTCGTCGCATAGTAGTGATCGAGGAGCTGGACGATCGTCTTGTTTGGGATGAGATCCTTGTATCGATTGAACTTTTTCTTATGGCGTGAAAGACATTTTTTGAAATTGACTTTTTCTTCTAGCGTCCATTTGGTGTGCGGGTTGCCTAGCTGTTTCTTGATCAGTTTACTCGACTCGTCCTCGTCCGTGCTCGCCGGAGTGTAGAGAAGATCGGCTTTGTGTTCGCTACTAATCGGATCTGCTCGCAGAGGAGGCACTTCCGCCTGGTACTGTGGTCCTATTCGGATTGAAGCTGCAAGAGAACATATTTTTTTGATTCGTGATCCCCGAAACTGAAAACCCGGCGATTATGATATCAGAAATTCCGTGCAAGTCCCACGCAGGATCTCGTTTTATGCGATTCCCGTCGATTCCCCGTGTGACTACCCATGAGACGAGCTAGGCAACGTAGATCCACGGATTGTTTAAGCAAACTTCCCCTCTGAACCATTCGGAGGATCTCTCCGTTCGCACCTACCAGGTAGGACGTATCTCGAACGGCGAACGCCGCATACTCCGCTCACGACCGACACAGCGCAGCGACAGACCGCTCAATATAGCTTTAAATTTCGAGCAGGCAAATTCAGGGCCCGAGTTCCTGCACGAACAAAATTCCATCGGGAATTCACTTCGCTCCGCCACGGCCTCAGGTCGAATCCATATCCATAGGAATAAGAGGACCGAGAGACGGAGAGACGAGCGAGAGTCCGAATATTACTCCAGCGTCATCCCCGCAGCATATTGACGATGCTATTGGAACAAACGAACGCTACGGATCCGGTCGCGATGCTATCGGTCGGCGGCAGTGTGAGCCTATCAAGGACCTTTGCGTAGGGTAGAGCGACTGAAGTGGTATTGCGCAACTCTGAAGACACGATCGGGCCGGCACGTGACACTTCACGCGAAATGTTAGACGTTCGCGTTTCGAACACTCCAACAGATGATTGTCTCATCATCTGGACCTCAGGTGTGGCGTTCGATTCTACAGAAACCCACGGTTCGAATCTCTTCGGATGTTCCGGACCCCCAGGAGTCGCAGTTTGAGGCTACACGAAGTCTCTTATCGTCTTCTCAGGCAAGATTCTTGATCCAAGGCCATACACTCCGAGCTAAAAAAGGCAGCCTCTTTCGAGCGGCTCACCGTCATTCGCCTGGGATCTACGGGAAACCTCGCGGAAAACGCCATTTTAGCTTGTGCTCACCTTCTTTGACTGCACCCTCGGTTGGATCCCGGCGAGGTTGCCGGGACATGCTTCCGTTATCAGCCGACGTTCGCCAATTTGTCAAGTTTAGAAGAAAGCCATTCGCTCCCCTTCGAGATTTAAATGCACACGGTTGCCAGCTGAACAGAGTAATCGGGAGATGGTGGCGTCCACTGATTCCTACCCGAGGCCTACACACACCGCTAAGCGCTAAGAAGCCAGCCGCGTTCCCCCGAAATTAAGGAAACTCAGAAAGAAATCGATGTTTTCGGGTAGAGGGCGTTCTGCGAAAGTAAATAATATCGAATCGGATCTACCCCTGGCGTAGAATGATTTTCCCCGTCAGGACAGTCAACCTACGAGGAACTCGTGGATAAAAACAGCTGTTAGCCAATGCAGCACTGTCCATGCGTTTCTATCTGGCGCTGGGGACTCGTGCTGGGCCCGAGGAGTTCTAGGCTTGGAATTCCACTGAAATGTCGGAGAAGGGAGCCGGCTCTCCTCTCGTTGGTCTTAACTCAGCGCGGAGCGGGAATAACTCGTGTTCCGATCCATCTTCTCTGGAATCGGAGATCACAACCAGATCTTCGTAGACGTGGGAGTTGCCGCATATAGTATCATGGAAATATTCTTTTCGCGAGTGTCCTCGGTGAGCGATGGCTATCACCAAGGAATCGGAATTTATTCATGAACGTGTAAATATAAATGAACGGCGACGCTCCTCTTGAATTGCTTAACTCCTTGAGGATACTACGGGATCCGTAGGAAAATCTAGCGCTCCGAGGGAACGGATTGAGCCAACGTTTCTGCCCTCGCTCCCGCTTGTCGAGGAGTCGCCGGCAGTCGCGAGAAACGCCGTGCGCCTCCGCATTGCGTAACAGCAACCTAGGACTCAAACCGCAAGGCACGAATGGAAATCGTGTTTCTTGTGGAATGGGTGGCGCCCGAAAATCGCTTCTTTCCGCGACGGAGCCGCTGCTCGACGACAGCTCCGAGTCTTCAAAATGTCCGCTCTGTCGTCGCCTATAGATCGGACTAGTCGCACTGTTCCGACAGCTGTTTCTTTTTCCCCTAGAGCGGAGCAACTACACCACCGGAGCTATCTGACACATCGGTCAGCATCTGGAATCGGAGACCACTCCTATTAGTGGTTCCAAGCGCCACGTGTGGCATCTCGAGTAGGTGATGAAGATCATCGACTACTCGCCGATTCCGTACTTTTGACACGGCCTGTTGTCATAGTGAAGAAGAAGAGGAGAGCTCTGTGTGTGCCGCCGCTACTGCTATTGTGGCCGCTGTTGTAGCCGCTGCTGCTGCTGCCGCCGAACCACCGACCGAGCCGCTGACTGACTGAGAGCAAGATCATCATCGGTGGTTGGGCTCGAGTGTGAGTGTCTTCTTAGAGAGCAACCCAACCCCAGGGAGTGCTCGGCGGAGTGACCCAGCTGATCGTCTGCCAGCTCAACTGACAGTACCATGTCCGGATTAAGGTGCTGCTGAGTTTCAAGCCACATAAGCTCCGGGATCATCGCCATGGGTGAGTTCTGTCGTCGTCGACTGCCGACTGACTGACCGACCGAACGACTGACGGAGTCCCTCACTGACAGTCGGACATATGTGTACTTCGAAATACGTGGGCGTTGTACGCCGGGGAGGGACTTAATTCATTGACCGGCTGCACCGATTGGTGGGATTCTAATTCACCGTGAGATGAGGAGAGAATTCGCGCAGTATATTTCGGATTCTGAAAATTCGTGACCGACCGCCGGAGTCCAACCTCCCGATGTCTGACGCTTCTGGCGGTAGCAGACATACGCCAGACTCGGTCTTCGATCGTATATATTTCCTGTTCAAAAATCTCCCCGAGTTCGTTCGTTCCGGAAAACGCCGGACATCATTCAGCCGACGAGCTTCATCTTTTTTCCGAGACGGCAACTGGAACGGTGATCGTCACCCAGTGCCCTTGTGCCTGTTTCTCGCGAGCCGCGACCGGCGGGCAGACTGACCAACTGACTGGCTGGAGGGCCGGAGAGCGGGCGGACGGCGGGCGGGCGTCCTGATCGCTGTGCTTTTTCGTTCAGTCATTTAGTGATGGGGGGCGTGACTCGTATGATCATATTTTGGATTCGGAACGCGTGCAGCGAAGCTGGATTGGGTCCGGTGAGACCTACGGGGGAAAAACTCGGGAAAAGTTCACGATTCACTCAGAATACGTTTTCATTCCGCCCGTCGGCTTCTGGTATTCATTATTCGGTAAGAGGAACTCGAAAAATTCATCGGGAAGGGATTTGATCCACGGAGAATCATTGGATCGGAAAAAGACATGAAGATGATTCAATTTTCACGAACAAGCCGTGGAGCGCTCTCCCTTCGATTTGCTCGAGGGAAATGCGCTAGCAACAGCTTGGTTGCTCTTGAGAAGAAGGAGAGAGAAAAATTCTCCACATAAGGGAGTGCATGCTTGGAGAGTATATACACTTCGGCCGTTGTCTTCCAAGGTACATTCGAGTTGAGCTCAAAATATTCTCTTCGGGCTCTAGCGGGAGAAATGGTCCTAAAACGGGAAAGAATCTCGAATCTTCATGAATTACGAGACTAGCAACAAACAAAAAATCCCTCCGTAGTTAGAGCACGGCTCGCGCTCAGAGGCTTCGCCCGTCTCCGGGAGGCGATCATGAGTTACGCTATAGGGTTTTCCCGTCGTTTAGGTCGATCGCCTTCCCTGGAGTTCAGAGACCGTATGGCTCATTCGTAGGGGATCTTTTGACAATTATTAGAACGGTTTCGTGCTCCTGGTTCTCCTATGATTCTTCCTTCATTGAGGAATCTTTGGCGGATTGATCGGAGGCAGCTCAGCGCGTCGGCCGCCGAGAACGAATTCGATACGACTCGCTGTCAGCCGAGGATTCATGCGTTTGTTCACTCTTGAAAGTCTTTTCCATACGAGGAGCCATTCATTCGCTCCGTTGTTTGTTCTCTGCGTGTCTGTACGAACACACCTATGTGTTCTAGACTAGACGACAAAGACGATCTTGTCGGCTCCGGCAGGCAGAGATGTGGGCTGTCAAACTTCGCGACTCGATGCTCATGGCGAAACAGTTGTCAAGTGTCGCCTGAGACGACCACCGAACACTTAAACTGACAGCGAAAATTGTCCCTCGTGATTTGAGTGGGTTTGCTGATGGATTCTCATATGGACCATATCTCGACCGGGAGACTGACATGAGTGGAAACATCCCCCAGCTTGACAAAGCCAGGGAAAAGCGCGTGTATAATTGTCAGATTCGATTCAAGCTATCGGGAGAAAAACTCAAAACCTGCTTGATGAGAGAACACATCTGACAAGAACCCGGAAGCAGAGAATGTTCCACCAGAATCAACAATCGTAAAAGCGGTATCGTTCCTGAAGATGTCGGCCATTCGCTCAGCGCTCCGTTGACTATCGAATCCAAAAGCTCACACTCAGAGAGAAAAGGAAGCCGCCGATGTGCTTTGTAATTTCCAAAACACCGGTCGATGATGATATGATGATGTACCTTGATTCTTCAATGAGGATACACGACCGGCGATCTGTATTTCATTGCCACGTTTTTGTGATAATTTGCCGAGCAGGTGCTCTTGAGGCTTCCACAGAACAATTTTTTTTCTTGCATCCGCTGCTCGTCGGGGGATGGATGCTCGCTTGGCTAGCTAGCCAGCCAGCTAGCTAGTTGGTAGGGGAATTGCGGTTCAGCTTCAGAGTAGCTCTCTTTCCACAGCCGGTGTCTGGAACACCTTCGCCTCCTTCGCCATCGTGGCAAGTAAACTTTTTTGAACAAGCCGGCTCGGCCACTGCTCGATTTGAACGGCCCGCTCCACAATACGACCCGACGCCCGGCAGTGGAGTCCCTAGGAATTCCCCTGGAAGTTGGAGATTGATCCGGAATTACTTTCCCCGCGAGCCCCGCTGAGGACAATGGGGTCTCTCTCGGAGACTTGAGCGATTGCGGCCGCACAGTATCGTGGAAAGTCTTTCGATCGGCGGCTGATTTCCTCAGAGATCCCTTCCGAAGCATCCTGTGCTTAAAAATTTTTCGAGAGAAGTTCGAGCTCTCCCGGAAGAAGTGACTCCGCCTCTAGAACTGCGAGCGGGAATTTTATCGCGGGTACGCGATCGATCTCGCCGGAAAGTAATTCGAGAGCGAGCGGTGTGAGTGCAGTGCCACCTCGAATGCGTTCGACGGAAGGTCCTTCGGAGATCGTCTGTCGTGCCGCAACTCCGCAGTGGAATGAAGTGTTCAGTGTTCACACTTCTATCGAGTGTCAGTTCGTAGATAGAGAAACCGCCCTTTCCTGATTACCTCGCCTGTCACCGTAACGTGAGGCTGCATACGTATGAGGCTCCTCGGTAGTTCGGTCTTGTGTGCACGACATGCCATTACAAGCCATGGACGACCCACTGCAAGAGCTACACGAAAGCTTCAGCCCTTTGAGTATGATGTTTTTCCGTTTTTCTTTGCGCTGAATTCTTATTCCACGAGTTGAGTTTTATTTCGATCGCCCTGCCCAATCAACACAGCTTTCGAGTGACCGAGTCCGAGCGAGAATTGTCTGATTGGGCTTGTCACTCGCTTCCTCGTCCACCAGCTGATTGTCTCTGTAAGGCGTGTGACACTTTACGGCAGGGAAGAGACACGGTCGCCTCGTGACGCCACTGACGAAAGTCTGGGCGGTAATCGTGCGCGTGTTCCATGCTTTGCCGTTTATGCGTACCTTGAAATCTTCACCCACTCATCTCTGTGTAAACGGCTGAAATGGTCGCTGCCAGCACCACCTCAGTCCGGACATGCCTAAGATGAGCATCTGCCCCGTGATTCATGAATATCCGACGTTTCTTCCAGAGGAGATGCTCAATGAGGAGCAGGAGTCGCTTCGAGAGCGGGTGGCCGACCTGGAGATCAAGGTTCTGGAACAAGCCGAGGAACTCACCTGTCTCAGGAGCACCATCGCCGATCTTACGCGGAGACTAACACAGGTGGAAGGTAGAGGTAAGCGGAAACATTTTCGTGTAGGCATCCTTTGTTTTGACGTGGGGCCGTTCCCTCCGAGTGACATCTCCTTCCGAGCTCCTTTTGGGTCTCTCACGTTCCCGACACGATCACGCGAAGGATTCAAGAGTCGGTCGCAGATTTGGTAAGGCTCTCCGGTTAGGAACCGAGCGCCAGTGCATTGGAAGGCCTTGGCTTGTTTGACGCCATTAGGCGTAATCTTTAAGGGACCTCATTGACCGCCTTGTATGACCCGTCACGCTGCCGAACTCATTGCGGCTGATCGCCCGACCCTAGATTTGAAAGAAGTCTGTTTACTACTGGCCACGGAAGAAAACGTTGTGCTGAAGTACTAGGCAGACAAAGGTCAGATATGCTCGTCCGCTCTACTCTCTCACGAGCAGGTTTCAAACATTTTCGAATATTCGGGATGCTCTTTTCAAGCAGAACGATTCTCCATGATGCTTCCGGTGAAAGATTTGCGATGGAGAAAGACGGCGCGGCGCTGTGCACTGGAAATCAGGCGTAGTGGGGAATATATCCTGAGGGGACAGTGCGGGGGATTCATCCCATTCGGTTCTTCCATCTCTGCTCTGTTCCTCATGAGGAATCTCAACACTCGATTACTTGATCGGGATCCGGTCAGCGGTGATTTCCGACGTCAATACTGACGTCTGATTGACAATTCTTCTGTGACCAAGATCTCCTTCGACGGGCAATCCAAATAATCGATCAATCAGTCATGATAAGATTCTCGATAAGCTCTCTGGGCAAGGTTTGGAACCCTATTGGGGACTAGTCTCAGTCCTGATTACAGTCAACTTGGAGCAGTACCGTCGGGAAACACAAGTTCACCATTTCAAACAACCTTCTTACAGCTCCGATGATAACCAACAACAGTCCGATCCTACCGCACAACGGCTTCAAACACAGCTACAGGTTCGTATGATTGGATTAGATTCTGTGAAGGCCCTTCGCTACAGAGAAGAAGTCGTGAGAAGTGTCCCCTTGCCGTCGAGAGCAAAACTAAAGCAATCGCGTATTTCGGAGTGGGGAACTCGTCGTGATTCATCGCGGAATTTTTTCCTCCGCGAAATAGCCAGATCGCATGGGTCAAGGCGGCTTCATCTCGCCGGTCTCGACTAGATTGATATTATTATGGGCGGCACAAGAAACGTGGAGGAGCTCGTTTCACATCGCGTGAACGACTGGAAGTTCAGCGATGTCCGCGGTACGTCGCGCGACGGTGACGGCTCCTGATTGATTTCGCTTCACTGCGTCTTCATACCGCGCTACCTGTCAATAACTTGGAAGAGTCGTTTCATCGCCCCTCGAGAAACTTCTCGATCGACATGCCTTCGATGATCTCCTCAATCGTCTGGTCCAACCCACTGTGTCAAATACGTCCCTTGTGGTCTGGAGAGAGATTTCCGAGCGGTAACGATTCTCCTCGGATTTCGAATAGAGATGCCAGTTTGAGAAAGAAAGTATCGAGGTGTTGTTCGAGCGGGTTGTAGGATTCCTCCAATGTCATAGAAGATATTCGAGTCCCACAGGGCGTACCTAAGTTGAGATTGGCTTCCCCATCCACAGTCATCGATCGTTGAGCTCGAAATTGGCGCGACAATCTTCAGGGGCGTCGAACTCCACCATTGAATCACCTACGCCCGCGTCCGTGCAGAATGGACACTCCGACACCGATGGGAAGAGGTAGCTCATAGCTTCCGAATCATTTGGAGAATAATTTCATTTAGCGGAAGATCATCTCGAATCTGATCACGTCTGTCATGGTAATGATCATCCACTCTTCCCTCTGCAGGTTCGGCTACGCTGCGTCGACCTCGTCCTTGCACAGTGAAGGATCGTCCTCGACGAGGTCCACCCCTCAGCCGCGGCACAAGAGCCTCTCCGCTGGAAATTTGCAGCAGCTCCGGCGGATGAATGGCGGGAGCTCGCCTAATATTCCCACCTATCACAACGGCTACGGCGATCACGCAACGTAAGCTACAACGAGCCCCATTGTTTTCGTTCGACGTGACCTGCTGTCTGCTGTTATTCCCGCAGTGGTGTCGTTGCCAACCTTTCGGCTTCGATCAACACCTGTTCCAAGAACTCTTCGCAGAGATGTCGCAGAAGCCTCTGACTAAGAAGAGAATAATTTTCAGACGAGACTGTTTCTTCGATCCCGACGACGGGATCCTCCGTTTCACCGTTCACGGTCACCAACTGCTCCTGCCGGTCCCATCGAGCTTAGTTCAAGAGTACTCATTGACAAAAGTCAATCCTATCCCCCAGCAACGGCTGAAGCTCGAGTGGGTCTACGGGTACCGAGGCAGAGATTGTCGAACGAACCTGCATTTGTTACCTACGGGCGAGGTCATCTACTTCGTGGCTAGTGTCGTCGTGCTGTACAATGTTGAAGAACAGGTCCAACGGCACTATCTGGGACACACCGATGACATCCGCTGCATCGCCATTCATCCGAACAAGTTGCTCGTGGCCACCGGTCAGACCGCTTCGATAGATCGACGAGACCGACGGGTGAGTGTTTACGTCAGAGTTTACGCTGAGTGTCGATTCGTCGAGGTCAGGGTCCAAGGAAGATGTACGAGTAGATCGTTCTATTCCTGCCGTCCGGGACCTATCATAGGGCAAGGCTTCTGAGGTTCCGTGGGCGGATACGGAGGTCTGAAACAGTCTCTGAAGAATGGAGCTATGACATGGGGTATACGATGAGCATCTCTCCAGCATAGGCTTCTTGAATGAATAAGTCTCCGTATCCTTGCAAGAGATAGCTGGCCAATATCTTTGGGAGATATCGGCCATTGACGTGGACACTGTTTCTAACCGTGTGATGTTTTCTTTTCATCTCGAACGACAATTTATGGCGCATCAGCCAAAATACGTTACAAGGGTAAATGTCGAGTTCGGAAGCACTCTAACCCGCTCTCCCACAATTCCCCGCAAAAGTCTCTCACCCAGTTGTGCATGTTCGACGATCGAAATGACCGAAGACCTTCTTGTGCCTGCACAAGACGCTTCGTCAGATCGTTCCTGAACAGTTGCTAATATTGGTTATTCAATGTGCTTAGCCGAATGGTTTAACAATAACGGCTTCGGGAGGATACTTAGAGTATCTCGGACACTGCTATTGTTTAAGACTGCATCGGAGGACAGAATGACGGTTAACTCCGATCTGAAAGTCTTAAGGGCTCCGGATAAACTCTGGGCGCGAAGGGCATCCTCTAAGCTGTAGGATTCTGCGCCAACTAATATCGGTGTGCTTCTCGCTAAATGCAAGGTTGAGCAGTGTCGTTGATACGCACGGTGTTGTTCTCGTCGGAAGCAGCTTTTTAGGCCCCGGTGGGCAAAAATATCTCCTCGTTGACGAGAATCCTCCGAAAAAGTAATCGGAAACCCGGAGCTGGTTTTCTTCGAATGGAACCGAGAGGAGTAAGCTGAGACCCTCGGAAGAGAGACGGCATAAATTCTAGCTTGGGTCAATGTCACAAGTCACAACTCGAGCGATTGTCACCCCAGCTACGCTGCGCATCACACGTAACCGAGCTTCGTCATATGTGATATTATCCTCACGGCTTATCTTCCCTATTCAGCCTCATGTCCGAGTTTGGGATTCGGTCAGTCTGAACACCATCCACGTTATCGGCATAGGAGAGTTCGACAGAGCGATTAGCTGTCTGACATTCAGCAAATTGGTAAGTTTGAGTATTGGACTGAGCCGCGAATGGACTTTTATGGCCCTTGCCGTCCGGACACGGCCGGATTTGGGAGATCCGTTTTACTACACTTTAAAATAGGCGGACAGAGATCTTCTTCTCACGGTGGAACTTTTTCAGGACGGTGGCACTATTTTAGCGATCGTAGACGACTCCACGGATCACACGCTGAGCCTGTGGGAGTGGCAGAAGGGTCATAAAATTGCCGAAACGAAGGTAAGGAGCATTGAACTTGCGGCATACCAATTCAAACAGGAGGTAAAACGAACGGAATCGATTCATAGATGTAATCTCACGGAAGCCTTGCTTACAGAGCGCTTCAGAGCCGGTTCTGGCAGTTGAATTCCATCCCATTGATCGACTACAGCTCGTTACCTTAGGGAAGGGACATCTCCACTTCTGGGACTTTGAGAACAGCACGCTCACAAAACGAGTCGGAATATTTGAAAAAGCACACAAGGCCAAATACGTTCTCTGCGTGACTTTCAACGATTTGGGCGAATTACTTACTGGGGACTCGAATGGAAATATCATGGTGTGGTCCCGAGGGAGCAACAAGGCCTCACGGGTCATTGAAAATGCCCATGAAGGTCCCGTATTCTCGATTTGTACCATGAAAGACGGAACTGTGATCAGCGGAGGCGGTAAAGATCGCCTTCTGGCCGAATGGTCCTCGGACCTCGAGCCCACGGGGCGTACCCTGGAGCTCCCCGAAAGCACAGGAGGGGTTCGAACCCTGGTACAGGGTCGTGGTACGCAGCTTCTCATCGGGACAACCCGGAACTGTATTCTACAGGGCAGCTTCGAGTTGTCCTTCTCAACGGTGGTCCAAGGCCATTCCCAAGAGGTTTGGGCACTGGCCATTCATCCGACGCAAGCTCAATTCCTAAGCTCCGGATACGACGGTCATGTTAGTGTTTCCGTGCTATGAACCAACGAAGGATCAGCACAAATGATCTACCATGCGGAAATATGAAAGACTCTCGAGGAATAACATGCATCGATATTGAATTTCCGAATTCCTCCTCAGGTGCATCTGTTCGACTCAATGAGTCACTCGGTGGTATGGTCCCTCCCATGGCCTGAGCCTGTACAAAGCGCATCATTCTCCCCGGACGGCTCAGTCATCGCGATAGCCTCGACGGCCGGGAACTGGAGTGTTTTTGACACGGCTACCCGAAAAGTATACGCCGCTCACCACGACGGTAATGAGCCGATCGACGTCGTGAGGTTCTCGCCCAGTAAGTTGGCCCGAGGAGCTCAGAATGAGGAGCTCATCATCTATCGCATAGGGCCGTGACCCCTCTATTGACCCTCCGTAGAAGGACATAAATTAAAAAACGAGGGAAGAACTCGATTGTCTAAAGGAAGGTGTCTTAACGACGATTTTCTACCTCACAGGTGGCCAGTATCTGGCGCTGGCATCGAGAGACAACTTCATTTATATTTATCAAGTCTCTGAAGAATACAAAAAGTACAACAGGATGGGGAGATGCGCGGTAAGGAATTTCCTCCTCATGGAGTCCTGAGACTCGAGTCGATAGATACCTCAATACGATGCGGGCACGATCACTTATGCTTCCCGCAATGCCACTTCGGCTCAGTTATAGGCGGCAGACTTAGGCATTGGGATGACTCAGGCATTAGGAAGACTTAGGCATATTTTTGGACATATTGTATACAGAAGGACCATATATAGTCATGATTAGCTTTTCTAACCCAAATCACGGCAAAAACTCACGCTGCGCTTGGAATGGCTGCTGACGTCGATTTCGCGAGCAGAAATACACCCAGGCACAAAATAAGATCAGAAAGAGACTACTCGAATTATGGGTATGAAGTGCGGGGAAGGGCTCGAAGCTCTCGACCCTTACCGTCTTTGCATGCGGAGGTCCCTCGACAGCAAATTCGACGCTCCCTGTTTCCGTTGATCATTTCACTCCGTCATTCCTCAGCGAACCTGAGTTCCGTAGCTTCTAAGCTTTCGTTGAAGTTCATTGCGGTACCGGCAGACTATCACACGGGGCTAGACTCGCGGGTCTCGTCGTAGTGCTGGGGGATTGCTGAGTTTTCACCTGCACGGAATTTTATCGAATATCGATACACCCCGGAGAGCTCGGAGACTCCGATCCGGATCAGCTTCAGTAACAATGTGATGTTCCGTAGGGTCACGGTAATATAACTTCTCAACTCGACTGGTCGGAATGTAACACCTACCTCCAGACTACGAACAACAACTACGAGATCGTTTATTGTGAGTTCACTCATTGATTGAAGATCATGGCTCAATCGGGGATCTCCCGCTTATAGGAACTCTTTCGGTATGGAACAGATCTCTCCGCCACGGAGAATAAGTATTTCCTCGTGAATTGCAGGGAATGCAACGATCTGCCGACCTGTCACGAATCCGACTCACTTGAAAGACACAGTGTGGGCAACACAGACCTGCCCGTTGGGCTTCTCCGTATTTGGAATCTGGTCTGATCAACCTGAAGGGTCGGACATATCATGCGTTGCGAAATCGCATAACTCAAAGTTGCTGGTGACAGGGGATGATTGTGGTGAGTAGACTCCCAGCTTCGGATTATAGAAAACTTCCACTTCCCCTGCCGAAATCAAGTCATGCATGGTGACGCTGGACCCTTGCTGGGCGGAGCTTATCTCTCCGTATTATTGTGCATTCATCGGGCGTAGTCTGAAACTCTCATCATCCACAGGCAAACTCAAACTCTTCGTGAATCCCGCGAACGTGCCGCGCTGTCTTTATCACACGTGCACGGGGCACTCGTCGCAAATCGCCAGCATGGGATTCCTTCCGGACGACTCCCGCATAGTTTCAATCGGCGGCAAGGACTTCTCTGTAATGCAATGGTGTCTGCAATGATATCCCACGAAGCCAGGGGTTTCCTTTGACGGGATAGTTAATGATTCCAACAAGCTTAAGAAGAGCGATGAATTCGCACTGCAATCGGGAAGCTTCACCCTCTAGGCTCTTCAGTAAAGTCAAACACTTGGGAGTCTTCCGAGAAGCTGAAACAGTGACCGTTCGCTTGTCCGTCCGTTCATCCATCCACCGCTACAAATGAACGTCCAGCGTTCACCTCCTTGATTCTGCTTTAACTAAGCACGATTCATCGCAAACGATTTTTTTGGAACCAGGCTCTGCTTTGGAAAAGCGTCCCTTCGTACGATGTGAATGTCGATTTGCGGGGCGTGTCTCCACACCGGAATACATTGGTCCCATGTGGAGCTGATTGGTTCAATTGAAGCTTTCGACTGATTGATCCGGTGTCACGTCCCGGACGCCGATTTTCGCGGTTCCTCGGTGCTCTTCTATCGTGAAATGGATTCGTACGGCTGAGATCTTAATCAAGGGAATCTTCTTAAAAGAAGGAAACAGTTGTACAATTGTAAAAATGCTGTAATGATGATGACAATATCGATTCCGGAACACCATAATACATATGTTCAGGTTCTCGATTGATTCTAGAAATAGAAAAGGAAAGAGGGTTGTGGACTTTCTGAGCGCAACATCATTCGCACCGTAATTCACCCAGATACGCTTCCGATCCGGGTACGTCATCGACTTCGGAAGAAATAAATTTAATATTTATTTACACTATGAGTTTTCCTTCCCTGTTGGATACTCTCTTGAAATCTCATCGGATCGGTCCCCGTTCCGCATCGGTAGAGATAAGCCCCGAGCATAGTCTCAGAAAAATATATCGAAAGTTCATTTTGATAAATAACCATCCGAGCTTAGCTCATCGCTCAGGAGTAACAAAAGACAGAAAGCTTTCCGTGAATAGCCTGTACAAAGCTCTTTCACAGAAGAGCATGAAAATCTTCGTAAAATATTGTGGAGGGATCAAGTACTGATATAAGTACCGCCATTCGCGGAATTGGTCACCTGGAGTCTCCTCTTCGAATCTGATCAGCGTGGGCAGTCCAGAAAACCACCAGGACACCCTTTTTGGCGAAATACTGAACGCGAAGGTCGAGCACCGACATCCTCGACCACGGCAACGTAGACGAGACGATGACCGTCGTCAAATGCAGATCGTCTGTTATTCATCAAGCCTCGATCGCTGGTCGGCGATTTGGACTCTGTTCCTCGTCATTGTGCTTCGGAATATCCGCCATGGACTAGGAGTATCAGGAAGTCTTGCGCTTCAACTCGTCAAGGCGGCTCTTGAGCTGTGATGCACCCGTTTCGAGAGCCCGGATCTCGTCTTCCAAGAAGTCGAGAGTTCGCTCGAGCTTCTTCAAACTGTGGAGTTGAAGGCAGAGTTTGAAATCGATGTCATGCAACTCGGATCAGGGCGTTTATTAGCTCCTAGCTCTGCGTCCGAAAGATAGAGTATGGGGATGCCGGAATATTTCAGTGCCATGAGAATAAGTCTAGAGCGCTCGTTCTTGATTATTCTGCTGTCGAAAACTAAGGCCGTGACGATGAAAAACGCGTGACTGCTGGAACACTAAGCTTAATAGCTGGATGAAGGTTCCCTACTCGGCATTTTTCGACGGAGAAAGCGACTCCTCGTCGGGGGAGCGAGCTTCCGAACAGAGGCGCAAGTATCGTTTCGAACTCGAGAGCGCCTAGAACACTTCAAGTATCGAGAAGGAAGTAATGAGAGCCAGAACTCACTCCGCGCATCGAGTCCCGACGCAGTTATCTTCCTGAGATAGCTTGTCCCAAGCCTGTCGAATTCCAAATTCGATGAGCTTACCTTTCGAACTCTTTGTAGAGAGTATATTTATCGTGGCACATCTTCAACCCAATCACGACGATCACAGAGAGGAATCCGATAAGGAATAGTACAAGAGCACGAAGTCTTGGTATTCGATGGAGGAACAGTTTCATCCGAACGGCCGAGCATTCTGGGTCTCCTACAAGTCGCGAGAATTGTCAGTCATATCGAAGTCATTCGTTGCAGGCTTTACAGGAATTGGTCGAATGCACATCGCAGGTATGGGCACTCTGTACTCAGATGAGAGGCAACAGAAGGGGGAAACAGCAAACACTAAGGGGCGGGAAAGATCTGAGTTTTCGAACCCGCAGCCTCGAACCGATCGTGACCTCCGATCACTGGCGAAATTTTCCCACGACGGAGGTTTTTACTCACCCCAGAAAAGCTTCAGCTGATCGCAGAAATTTTTCCTCCGAAGACGAAGGAGGGAAACGCGTCGCAAATGCTCGAAGCAGCTTGGCGGAGGATCATCAAGGTGAGATGGAGCATGGAATTATGATTACCATTGGCTGCAAGGCTCCGGATAGACGTAGGTTGATCTCCACTGTTTACGCCGAGCGCTTTCAGAAATCGGAGAGGAGCTCCTTCTTTGAATTCTGCTGTCACTTTCGAACGCTGTGCTGCATCTAGTGCCCACGGCAGCCGCTGCATCGAGGCATCAGCCGTGCCTTACCACTAACCACTGTGAGGGCTCCACCATTCGAAGAACCGCACGCGGTACGGCAATCAGCAGTCTCCAGAAAACTACAGATCTGGGCTGCGGGAGAGGACGACTCCACAGAAGAGTTCTCCCAGCCCCAGCAGTGGTCGACCGAAGCCAATGAGTGTGCTCTGAGGTCCACTGAAAGCGGTGGAAAAGGGAGCCTCGCCGGTATCCGGCCCTTGGAACGGGTTCCGACGCGCGCGAAACTCGGTACGCGGTAACTCGTGATCGCCCGCTTCAACGGGTTGCCCACTGAGATGGAGCCCTGAGCCTGTAGAGAAGGACACCGTTTCTCGGTCACTTTCGACCCAAATGAGCGATTGGGCGAGAAAACCGCCTCCCTGAGAAAGAGCCAGACTCGTTGATGGTGTAACTCATGTCCGAGCTTCAAAACTAAGTATCTTCCTAAACACCAAAATCACCATGAATATCATAGAATGTGACGAACGCGAAGAGTTGCACGAATTGCGCAGACGACATGGATCATGCCTTTGGTGGAATTCAGCATAAGGGCTGACAAGAGGCATGACAAGAGCGCTCGACGAGTGCAGTAGGCGTGGGTTCCATACTTGAGAAAAGCTTTCCCAGAAGGAGCCCTTTACTCATGGCTCCATTTTTCGCTCTTGCAATTAGTTTGCCTCTAACCTTACCGCAATGAGCCGCTCATCCAGATCTTCGTCCCTCGTCCGAATCTCCGGACTTGAGATGATTTAACTGTAGCCATGGTCGTTTGAAGCATGATTGAGAGTCCATCGGATCCTACAATCGATTGCATTCCCGTTTTTGCCCCGTGAACGTGTGACCGATCGGATAGCATCGCGTGTGACTTCGGGCGTCCAATTCCTGAAGGAGTCCTACTCGCGCGATTGGTGGGGAGTTAGATTCCCGTCAGAGGTATCATTACACCAAAGCCGCAAATCGCTAAAAAAATCCTGAAACTATCCTTGGACGAATCGGAGAACTCCCCGTTGTCGGTTGGAAGATCAGCTGAGTGGGAATCATTTTCCGTCGAGACTTCTGAGCTCATCCGTTGATCGAGAGAAGCGCCAGAAGCCTCCGATGTCGTCTCGATGAAAAATGACCGAGACAACAGTTCTGAGCGCCAGTTCACTTGCGCGTCAATGCGTCGGCAACAGACCATTTGGGGCAGAAAAAAAGAGCAAGCAGTCGTCACAGCCTGGAATCCAGAGTTGACAGCGCGCAATTTACGCCGGCCGGCGACTCCTTGACGAGCGACCAATGGTGACGGGCGGAATTCCAGTCTCTATATCTGCCATCGTCACCAACAGCAAACAGTAACGCGACGGCGGAAGCTACAGAAGAGGCGCCCTATGCGGGCTCTCCAACGCCGAGCTGATATTTCAGAGCAAAAAGAGTCGAATGGATAAACGGCCGACGTTACGTCGGGATGTCGCGAATCATCCCGCAGAGCAGACTGCAGGGTTCCCATAAGGTGTCGGTTCGTTCGTCGCTCTCTAGCGCTGTCGGTAACGCTTGGAGAGGTTTCACTCGACGCGTCATGTAATGCGCGGTCGACCGTCGACAGCATTTGACAAATCGGATGAACTCTGAACGCTGTCGCTAAAGTCAATGTTATTTGCTCCCACTTGATACGGGCAAGCTGCCGAGCGGAACAAAAGCGGCCCATCCAATCCGCGCTCTCCGCTCTCGGAACTGTGTTGATGCCGGGATAGATTTTCGGTCTTTCCTCGCTCATCATATCACTCGGACGATCGAGTCGAGAGCAAGCGAATCGACCGACTATTCGGGAATTGAAAAAAGAAGGTTAGGGTTATCGACCGGGGAACATCGTGGACTGAAATGAATCCTGCAAATAGCTCGTCGGTATCGTTCCGTTTTAGATCGGGAAGTAAATAATATTTGAAGAGGGACTTCGAAAGCTTCAATTTTCGGAGGTATATCGTCGTGTACCATCCAGAGGTATTTGGATCCTCCGTGGGATATTCGACTTGGAGACATAAGACAGCCTCTGAAAGTCCAACCGAGGACGGAGGAAGTTATTGCCCAAGAAGTACAAGAGTTTTTCTTAGAGAAAAGTTTACAGGGTGCTTCTTTATTGAGCGCATCAAAAATCTCATTCCAGTCGTCATTTACTGATGATATACATTTCTATCCAAGCTAAGTTAAGTGGTTCAACCGAACTCTACCTAACCGCGTCCTGTTGTAAGTAGACTGACGACATTCCTCTCGAAGAATACATTTTCAATTATTGAATTCGTTTCTTGTCCATCAATTGTCACCGTCTCGAACCGTTGGAAGAATCTATTTGCGTCGACGCTCTCGTCGCGGAAGCAGAAGGATATTGTTCCCCGATTCTCCGTCGAACCTTCGCCTGCCTAAGCCCCGCTCAAGACTCCACCAGCATCTCCTCCGCGTTGAATTAAACGCTGCGAATCTCATCGATCGGTTGTTCGAACCAGTGGCGTGCTTCCCCATGCTGCTCCCCAGGGCGGTCAACGAAAAATTTCATTTTCCGGACGCGATCAACTAAAATGCCGCCCTCTGTCCAAATATTCTTCGCGAGAAATTTCGAAAATTTTCACGAAAATACCCGTTTTCTTGGATGTCGATCTCGAAAATGCCGCCCCTCCCGAAAGTGCCGCCCGGGGCAGACCGCCCCCTCTGCCCCCCTTCCCGGAGCACGCTACTGATTCGAACCCTCGACTATCGTGACGATATGCGATCGGAGAGACGCCCGGATTCGCTGCTTCCTGAGGAGGGAAGACCAAGAAGCGGGATTCGGATGAAGGACGAAAGTACCGAGAGAGTATTGTCCTTTGAAAATATATCAACTGAGAACCCGATCGCCATCGGAATTTTCCACATGCCGTTTGTCTGTATAAGAGTGGCTCGATTCAGCAAAGACTGCGATTGGTTGGATTTTTAGATGAGGTCATAGTTTGGGAAAGACGAAATGCGTTTTGGTTTCCTCATACGTGGTTGCATGCGTGGTTTTATCTCAGGGTTTCTTTTCGCAGAGTAGTCAAGTAGCTCACGAAGCTTCCACCGAACTCCGCGCCTGGCGGAAAGCTCAACCGAACAAAATTCACCCTACAGTGCTCGATCTCGCTCGACCTAGCTGCTTTGAAATGATATGTCATATATTAGCTGGCGCAGAAATGATTGCCGTTCGTTGCCTGAATACTCATTTCCGTTCATGTATGTGTATCCGTATTTATATATTCTATATGGTTGTATATATATATATTTTTTATCTATATAAGTTTCGAAATGCTTCTGTATACTGATGTTTCTGTGAAGATGTTCTTATAAATAAATAGATGAACTTGTTCAACACTTCTCCGGGGCTGCTGAAGAAGAGCTCTACCGGATTGTGGGCGATCAATGGATCAACCCTACAATAAGTTCCGACAAGGCTCTGGGGGAAGACAGTGGAGCAGAGGAACACTTCTGAGAATTCAGAGTTCGAGTTTATCCCAATACTCCTCCTATTGAAACACTTCATCAAATCCTCTGCCTATCTCTTCTTCGAACCCCATGTGTTCCAGCAACGAATTTCATCCTATGCGGTCTTGCCTCGAATCCAAGGTCTTCGATGCATGCAAGACACAGAACTGAAGGCGATTTCGGTAATGTTTGGCCCATGATTTGGGATTTCGGTTCCGGAAACGTCGGTGTGCTCCGCACTGAAGTTTTTCACAATCGACAGTATCACGATGATCCACATGGAAAGGCTGCCATACTCATGTCACGTTGCACCACGCATTTACACGCGAACAGCGTGACTGAGACCCTGACAGAGAATTCCCGAATCGTCGATCGACCGTACGCTGACTCAAGTTTAGAGGCTTATCACTCCCGCTTCCTGGCCGACAAAGAACCACGTGCTTCGGGCCATTGACTCAGTTCATTCATTGAATACTCCGATGATTTTTGGCTCTTCGTAAGAAATACTTCTCTAGAATCGAGCAGCACGGTATGGAGAAACTCCGGGCTCAAAACTCGTCTTCACTCACCATTCACCACGGGGTGATACCGCATCGTGGAAGGGAGACAGTCGAAACGGCAATTATATTTGCACCAGCCGGAAAACTATGTGTTCGTGTGTGTGCGCGCGCGTGTTTGCGTTTTAAAATGTGGGTGCTTGCGTTGATGGGTGGTCGGTGAGGTGAATGTTTGGTGGGATACTGTCACTGAAAAAATACCATATGTCGAGATCGATTACTCTCTGATGCCAACCGCCAGTGTCACCGTTCTCACCGACACGATAACCATCGTTTCCGTGATATGTCTCGGTGTCTTTTCAGAGAGTATCAAAAATGATGACGATACGTCAATATGCCGTTTTTTAGAAGCGGCAGTCGGCTTGTTCCCAAGGGGGAAACGAAAACGAACAAGCGCTCTCGAAATCAGGAATCGTAGAACAGAGCTAAGTCCGATATGTTGCGAGGAGACAGGCGACGACATTCGAGAGCGGGGGATTCGATAAGCCTCGGAAAGCACGAGGCAGATCTCTTTTCGGAATGGAAATAGTGCAACAGGACATTTCGCGACACGGAGATACTCGCCGGTCGGCGACGGGACTGGATCGTCGAAGGAGGTTTGGAATCTCCCGGAATCAGCCCCGAAAGAATCCCAGAACCGCGAGGTCACCCGTGAAATCGCCATGAAAAGAACGTGGCGCCGAACTACCTAATCGTCACCGACTTTCTTCCAGACTCTTCATTCCGCTGGCTCGTCCTCTCATAATGTGTCCGCATCTCATGTTTTTCCGCGTCTTCTGCCCTGGTTGCCTACGGTTCGCTGTGCAGGAAAGTGCTCGGAAAAAGTCACGTTGTCCCTACCTAGGAAGCACAGAACGCGGTAGCTTTGTACAAGATACCTACACTAAATGTACACAGGAAGAGCTGGCGGCTCTCGAGTCGAGCGTAACGAACCTCGCAGCTTCAACTTTAGCTTGTCAAAAAAGGTGATTCGTCAACGATCAACGAGCCAAAATACTAAATGCCTTCGTTGCCTGTCGAGGAGAGAAGTCCCGACGACATTTCGCACGCCTTCTCCGCAACGTTCCTGGTTCTCCCCCTCCGAGCCCCTCCCGGTATCGAAGGCACATCGGAACCGATCGATTCATGGTGCGAGACTGCCTTGAACTTTCCATCGGCACTCGTAAGCCGAGAATGGGGGACGAGAAGAGGAGCGGGGAGGGAGAAAACCGGATTCCGCTGCGTGTAGGATGTCCCATAGCTCGGAGCAGCTATTTTTGAATCAGTCGGTTTCTCTTCATGGATCCCCTACGACTCGATCGTTGATGAAGCGAACGAACGCGCGAGAGCCTGAAGCATTGATTGACTCCCAGGCCAATCGATGGATCAATCGATTCGTCTGCCAATCGATAATTAAATCAATCAGCTGATCGATCGGTCGTCTATCTGCGTGTCGGTCGGTCGGTCAATTGTCAAAATGGGGGTAGGAATTGATATCGAGCGACGCTTTGTATATGATACAATCAGATCATTATCGATAATAATACTTAAGTACTAGTCCGAGAAGGCTTCCTCTGTTAGGTGATCGAGTTCGTTTGCTCTGATGGGGCCTGACCCAGACCGGCTTGGCCGTAGTCCATCCAAGCCGCCGTTGACGACGGTGCCATCTGACCTCCGTATCCTGCAGCCGACTGTCCGAACGCACCCGGTAGTGAGGGATCATCGCTTTTGTCTTGTTCTCGTCGCTTCAGACAGGCCGCTTTCGGATTGAGATTCCGCTCGCGGACCTGCTGTTCCAGCTGCGTGATGACGTCGACTGCCTGGTGCAGAATGTTGAGCTTCGTCTGCGCCTTGTCCGTCTTCAGGTGTATCATGCACATGCGTCCGAGTTCCTTGAACGCCTCATTTATGTCACGCACCCTGATGCGCTCTCGTGCGTTGTTCGCTTGACGCTTCTCTTTTTCACGTTCCATTTTCGTTTCCGGATCGTCGTCGGCATCCGAGCCCCCGAAGCCGTCGCCGGAGTTCGAGTTGCTCGAATGCCAGCCGGAGTTCGACGACGTCGCGCTTCGGGCGCGCTTCACGCCCTTCCCAGACGGCAATGGTGGAACTTGCAGGGGGAGCTTGGCTCGCTTCAAGTCCGATTTGTTCTCTGCCATTTTCGCTGTTGACGTAGAAGCAACAAACTCACCTGCCAGGCTAACATTGTCCTCAAACCTCTCTTCCGGCCTCTGTGCATCCAGCAGACTCAGCGAGCGCGGCTGAGCTGTTGCGCCTGGAAACCGGGAAATCGTGATTACGCTTCTCTCCCTGCAGGGGAGTCTCGACCCCGCTCGCACTTCCCCCGAAATTGCTCTGTGCCGATCCTGGTAGCGTGAGTTGCGTGCTCGAATATTTTTCGTATCCGGCGATTTACGTACCGATCAGAGGAGGTGTTTGTGCTGTCGTCGTGTTCGACCACACTGTGGGTGGAGGAGACGACAAAGAATTTGGCGAATGAGCGTAACCTTGCACTGCCGGTGCCGCGGACACCGAGGGCCCCCCAGCCGGCGGGACGAACTGAGGTTTGAGCGAACTTATCAACGGAGGAGGTGAACCGGCAAGATCTCTACAGAACGACGACATCGGCGGTAACGTTGCCAAGGATGGCAACGGTTTCGAGTACGATGGCGCATCTTCCAACGGTTGCAGCGGTGGCGGGGGAGGGACTCCGTAGCCGGGATAGGCGCCGGACGAAGCCCCGTACCACGTCGTGTCGTATTCTTGCACCGGGTGGGCAACTCCTTCGAGATAAGAACTGACATAGGGTTTGGCTCCGGAGCCGTTTGGTGTGGGGAAAGCGTCATCAACATACGACTGTAAGGGAAGAGACGAAATCGCGTCAGAACTATGGAGGATCTTCTGATCTCGTGACGGACGATATCCGGAGGATGTCCCCCCTCTCTCGGCCTTATCATTCCGATGGAAGAGGATTCAGTCCGGAACGCATCCGAGTTTCGAGCAGAACCCAAGATTCAGTATCGGCGAGAGCCGAATCCGGTTGGAAATCCCGTTCTTGAGATTGACTCAGATCCAGTCCCGTGCATCATAAATATTTACATCTCGAGTCTCGAGTGGAAAAGAGAACCACGGAGTGAAGCGGGCAGACTAACGACTTGAGGAGAATGCTCCACAATCTGAACAAACTCCTCTCAGAAAGGATGAGACGAGCTATGGAGAATTTTTTTTCCCTGGAAAGTTCTGGTCCCCACCCTTCTCGGCAGGTCGCAACTGCGATCCCACGTAGTTCGCTGGTATTCCACAGATTGAAGTTTTCTCCGGTGTCTGTCTCCGATTATTCTCGAGCTGGAAATAAGGGGGAGAGGTCCCCTTCTCTGGAGAAAATTTTCCATCGTCTAGACAGGTCGAAGCGCGAGCACGAGCGCTCGGAGGGAAAATCCGCGAGTTCGTAACTGCTAAGAGCCGATCGTGGATCGAATTTCCCCGCGTTCATTCTCAGAATGTTATTTCCCAGAGGGACAATCAATTCATCCCTCCAGAGCAAGCCTCCCCGAAGGGAATCAGAGTCTTCTGAAAGCAGTGGAACGATGGCGCGTCCGAGCTATCGTTCCCGAGAGAGTTGACACGTCGAGAATTAGAAAGCAAGCTTCTTTCCTGGCGACGTCACAGCGTTTCGAGCGCCGTCCGCAAGAAAACTCGACGGTTGGGAAAATCTCGGATTGGCGGAACTCCCTGGTATACTCGGGAGCCACGCGGAACTTTTACAGAAACACCAGCACCACGGCCGCCACTCGGGTCCACTTACCGCTGCAGGTTGCGAGGTCCACGGAGGAAGACCGCTCGAGTTGTGTTGAGGGTTGAAGTCTTGCAGACGTTGCGCGGCGGGATAGCCGGACATATCGTGGAGATCCGTCTGTTCCGAGCCAGCCATATACCAACTCGCGCTGCCTATGTCCTCGATGCGGGACGAGGAAAGATCCTCGAAGTTCTTACGTTCCTCACCGCTCATTTTGTGAGCTTGAGTTTTTTCGGGCTCTCAATTTTCCTGACCCGGATCTCGGAACTCGGCGCCGGCCGTACGCTGTGTCGAGCCGTGAAGCCTAGCGATGAGCTGTTCGCTTCACGGGCTTGAGGTAACCAAAATCACAACACAACGTCTCATTCGACAAAATCCAAGAGCATTCCCAGAAAACATAAGATGGCGGCGTCGTCACACACCAGCACCACACACACCGACCGCTCAGCCCAGGGCAGCGAGCGAGCAGCAACTTCAAAACACTATTCGCTCGCTCGCTCGTCTGCTGCCCTCGGTCGCATCTAGGCTGCAGTCGCGAATGGATGAACGCATCCAGGTCCGGGAGTCGGCTGTTATCGCCAAATTTCAAAATTCGAAGTGCCGCGCCGGGTCTAGGCCCAGTGTCAGAGACGCGAGAGGCCGCGCACTCGACGACGGTCTTTCAGCAGGATATTGGAAACGGGGTGCTCGAGAATTTCGCTCTCGTTTTGATGGTTTCTCAGGACGGGACTAGGCTCTGCGAAGACCGCTACGCCGAGAACCGCGATCTTGCGACTCCGTCTCCCATTGAGATGGCTACGGTAAACCGCAGGCTCCAGCGTGGGGTCCGGATAGTCCGCGTTTTGCCGTAGAGCCCGGGACTCTCGTTCGGTATTCCGGAATACGAGGCGATATCCCATGGGGGTCTTGGGAAGAAAGTCGCTCTGCATCAAATTGCCTCGCTGGTCTCATTGGTGCGGTCTGGAACCTGGGATCGAAGGGCTACGCTATACCTCGTGAATTTTCCACCGCGTCATGACCGAAATACTTATTCCACTCGAGGCGCTTCATGAATCTACGTCTCCGAAGCTCGGAGCCACGTACGTCCCCCTCTGTTGGACTGGGAGGGTCTGACATGGGAGGTATGAGGATGAGATCACCGCGGAAAATCGAATTATACCAAGCTCCCGAGAATGAGCTCCTTCCCTCATCGATTCTGGTTCACGTTGATCTGATGCAAGTTAGAGTTTCCACCAACCTAGAGCTATGGGTGCTTGGGAATCATTCGCGACGATTCTCGATCCTTGGCAAGGAGGACTTGACGATGGATTGAGGCTCACCATTCGACAATGTCACGCGCCGTCTCGTCGCTGTATCGGAAGTCCGCCCTTACTGCGGTGCTACCCGCATCATGTCCAAGGCTGGTAGTGTGGGAATGCCCGAGGTGACATAAGACTAATGTATCCATGGTCTGTTCCGATTCACTTGAATCCTGGATTGAGGAACCATAATCTCTAGGGAGCTCCTCTTCGCGTCGAAGAAGTGGGATTCCTTCAACACTTTTCCGATACCGTAGAGAAGACGATGGTGAACATTTTTTCCCATGACACGCCAACGGAGCACACAAGTCCGGTAAAGAATATTTTCAACACCCGAAATAGACTGGTATGGATTTGTCCCCCGATTCTGTTTCGAAATCAGATTCCAAGGCGTCTTCTCCCCGGGTACGTTATCACGACAGAGGTCACGAGTCACGAGCAACTCGGGGGTAAATCTCCGACATTCTGCGAGGAGAGAGAGCGCTTCAGGCAGGAGTTTCTCGAGTCTTCTGCCTGCTCTGAAGATCAGAAGAACAAAGTTCCCTCCATGAAATCGAGCACATTGAGCCCAATGGGGCAGGCGGGACTCGGAGAGAGATAGATCATTGATCATTGCACAAACAGAACGCTACGGCAGACACCATTTGGCTCGAAGGAATCCCGTTCAGCTAAGCTCGTCGCCGGGAAACTCTGCCCGAGTAATACGCGAAAGCCACGAAGCTTTGATCCAAGGCTCCCCGCCCGCAGGGATATCCTCCAGCTACCGCTCGCACGGCCGCACGGTAGCCAACGGTCTTCAGCGGATAGATACCGCGTGAGCGGATCTTAGGAATTTCACTTCTTCCGAGGAAATGACGCGGAGCATTCCCGCTCCCTAGGCCGGGCGGGCAATCCCCTCGGCTCGGGATAGTTTCGGGTCTCTTGAGTGGAGCTTCAATCTGGGGTTAACTTCCGAAATTTCGTGCTCTTGCGTCGCGTCAACGGTGGGTTAAACAGGAGCCCATTCGACGATTCTACTCGGAGTCATCGAGGAGCGCGGGCCGATCAGTGACTACCAAATAGAATGATGAGGGACTTCGAGATTCAGAACTGCTCGTCGACGACTGCCCGAGGTCCCCCCTGGCAGGGTGGAAGATCTCGGCGGGACTTACAGAATCGCTCAGCCCTCGATGACAGGGTTGGGGGAAGTACTGCGAACGTCATCTATGAAGAAAATTATCTTTGAAGCAAGAGAATAGAACCGAGCCGCACCGTCATTCTTGGTAAACTATGTTCTGCGGTTGCAGGAACGACGAGGACGGTACCAATTACAATATGTACAAATGCATCTATTGAGCATCCGGTGGTGATATTCCATTTCTCGTCTCCTTTGGAATGCTATGCTTCTCCAGACGGGATCCGTTGACTTTTGAGATCAGCGTATACTGCGAGCAGGCTTGCCCGCGTGACGAGCGTATACTTTCGTCGTTTACTGGGGTCCCCAGGTTGAGAGGATATTAGGAAATGGAGATCGTGTGCAGGGCCGTCCGTCATCGACTGGCTCGTCTGGAGCCTACACGGGTCCTAGATTTCTGATTTCCGGCTCTAAGGGCAGGGGGATCTCATCTCTAAAGTCCGCGAAACTCCCTCGCCACTTTCCGATGGGTCTGGTGGAAGCCGGTTTACGGGCAACCCGTATCTTCGTCTGATATGTTGGGATAGCGGGTCCAGGCAAATATAGACGCCTATGCCGCTGGTTGGGTCTTCGTATAGAGCGGTGAAGTCGTCGATTGAGATGTCTGTGGAGCATACCGGTGAGAGGTCACCGAATCAATCCACTCGATCATCACGCGGATCGCATCGATATTTTCGACTCAACATTGCGGTGTAATTTTCTTTCGGTCTGCTTTGGCCGATTGTGGTGATTAAGGTGTCTGAGATAAGAGGTTCCGCAATGGTGCTTCTCCACGCGTCCGTCGAAGTTCCCGAACTCATCGCGGACCCATTTTCCAGCTCAGAAACCTATTCGAACGATATTCTGTCACGACTCACAGCGTCTCCTGGTATCAGGCAGAATACGAAAACAACAGATGACTCCTGCATGTTCGTTACCGATCGACGTTGCCGAAGAATCCACAGTTCCTCGGATGCTCCAAGAAGCTTGGTTTTACATTTACCTACACGCGGCTCCGCGGACCTCAGCGATTCAAGCTCATTGCAAGCCCGACCTCTGTGTTTGCGGAGATATATCCTCCCCCTCTCTTGAGACATATGAGTCTCCGAATGTTCGTTATTGGAATTCCATTTCTCCGAAATAGCTACGGGAGTTCATGAATTTTTGCCGGCAGGAGTTTCTCGATCAGATGAATGTCCATAGCTCTCCACACAGAGAGCCCCACTAAGGAAAAACACTCGATCTGAGGTCGGCCATATGTACTACGTCGGGCGACATATCGAGATTGGAAGCTCTAGACCGCTATTGGTTTCCATGGTGAGGAGTGAGAGGTATTCCGCTCATTTTGGATAATCGTTCACATTGGATCTTCGATGACTGGTCTGCTTGGCAACGCTGCCGGAGCGACGGAAGACCCTCAACTCGGAGCTCTTCTCCCTGAAATACAAAACATTCTGGGAAGGTGAAACCAGCGCACTATCACGAGAAGCTTCCAAGGACAACTCAGCGGTTCTCAGCAAGTCGCACCGTCTCGACTCCAGGACGTCAATAATGTTCCTCCAAAGGAGTTCGATCTGCGGGCTTCCAGTGATTCAAACAGTTTCTGAGATTTGAAGTTTGACCCGGTGATTCCCCCAAGTTCCCGATGATACCTCAGAATTTGGATCCGTGGCGAAAGCCCGTCCCAAACACTCTCGGGAGAGGGCGGAATCAGCTTCCTCGATATTATGAGGATCAGCTTCACATGCAGAAAACCGGCCGGAACAAGCTCGACTCTTCGCGACTCTCATTTTTACGGAGCTATGACATTTTTTCGGAGCTATGACATTTTTACGGAGCGCCAAATCCGAAATTCGTACGAGCCGAATTGTGGAATTCGGTAATATGGATGCCTGATGGAATTTCGACCATTACAGAAAAACACTATCTATCTGTAAGACATGAGAACATTCGCTTTTAATCTCAGCTGAATCGGCAGATGTTCTACGACAGGGTCGCAGCAAATGATCTTTCAAATCACTCCACGTTGGGCTTCGGTCCAAATTGAGAGAAAGAATATCTACTTGAAAACGAGATATGCTCTGTAGGAAACAGGGGTTAGATCGCACTTGGATGAATCTCGGTAGGCAATCCTTGGTAGATCCTGCTCACGACACGGTATGGAAGGAGCTTTCGCCCAGATGCCTCACCTCGACGACGGGATGGTCTACTCGACGGATACACCAGGGGATCAGCCATTAGTCAGAATGCCGCCGGCCCTCATTTCCTTCTGCAGGGAATATGCGGAACGAATGACGCCGAGCATGAGGACATTCTTTCCTGCGATGCCGCAACGGGACTATCATTTCATTCCTATTCGATCCTAATGCGCATCGAGAGTCGCGCAGGACAAAGCGCTTGCCTAAACCCTCTAATGCGCCTATGCAGGGCGCCCGTATCGGGGACCTGAGCTCCGAGACAACATGGTCGTGTTAGCTTTGATGAATGACGGGGTGGGAAAGTTGATGATTTTCGGCTGCGTCGTTCAGGGCTGATGATGTTTCCGACTTGGTGTCATACGCATGCTGACGTAGAAAAACTGCCGAAGCTGAAGCTCAATAGTACCCGTTGCAAGACGGCGTCTACCGCCATTCGGGTCGTTCCGACTAACTTCAGAGCTCTGAGGTCCCGGGATTGAATTGTAGTCGACAACTTACACTCAACCGTGTACGCCTCCGAAGTGTGTGACTGTACATATTTATGTAGCTGACCGCTTCTTGGCATACGCGGAGTATTGGACACGATTCTGCTGATTCATTCTTCGAGCATGTATTTCTCCGGAAAGCTTTCGCGCTTCTGAGAGTAGACCTTGAAAGACACAAGCAGATGGGACACTCGGATCGCTACGAGCTCTGAAACGCTGAGCTCGTAAACTGAAGCAGGACACAGACCTGTCTAGACTGGGGTTCGGGAACCATGAGAGTGATTCCAGATTCTTCTCCGGTCCCTCTCCTTCCAGTCGGACCTACTTATTTCCTGACGAGGAGACGTGCAGAAATGTCCTAGGTCATTGCGATCACGTCACAGAGACCTTCCGGCCAACGTTGGTGTCACGATTGAAATTATCCGACTCGCCAGGCCGTCTAGAAGCCGGGATTCCAGTCAGGGCTGTAAAGGGGAATTCGCCGTCTCAGGAAAGAGTCGATGATTTGAGTGTTTCCCTAGATAGAGAGCGCCCGCGTTTTTTCGACTTTCCAGTAGAGGACCAGGGTCTCCGTCGAACCCGAAGATATTGCCGAAAAAAATCCACCCGACGCTTGCAGAATGCCTCGTTCGGTTTCTCGGCGGGGAAGAAAACCTGAAATCCAGCGTGCACATCGAATCAGTTCCGCGGGGATTCTCGAGAGAATCCGTTTCGAAAGTTCTTTCGATTCAGTGGCATTCTTTTGTGTTTGCAACAAAAGCAAAAGAGACACTAGAACCAGACCAAGTCGAAGCTGGAAAAAAAGTAGAAACGGGATACGGAACGATCAGAGGCAGCATTACCAGGAAGAAAAACGGAATAAATAAAGTTGCGAAGTCATCGGCCCCTGGCAGAAGACGCGCAGTGACTCTCAATATTCAAACTTGCCTCGTCGGCTGGCTAGCTGACTCGCTCCCCAGCCCGCCCGCCGGGCCAGCCGATCACTATGGAATTCGCATTGAGACCCGAGGTCTTCCACCCACTGTTTCGCTTGCAGGAGAGTCAAGCGAGGAAATGAGCTGGCAAACGAGCATTTTGGAAGATGCTTCGCTTGAATCACGTCTCGCGTGCTGGAGAGTGGGACCTTCCGTCTAGTTCGGCTGTAGATGAATCCGCGGAGGAAATCGCGACACCAGATCCAGAATTAATGTTTTCGCTATCAAGGCTGAATCACCTACACCGACGACACGGCCTCCGGACGAGAAAATGAGCTCCGCACCTGGAATAAAACCGAACGATCCCTCTCGAGGAATTCACCCCCGAGCGGGAGCCGATCGGGCCGACGTTGTTCCCGAACTTGAAACTACTTTCCAATGAACTTGATTACTCGATGCTTGAGTGTTCAGAGGAATTCGGAGAGGATTCAGATCACGCTCACAATCGGTCTGTTCGGAGAAGCTGTGCACGTTTTCACGTTCGTGGGTACGCGGATCCATGGCTCTGCTATTCCCTCGATTGAAACCACTGTATTCAGAGAGAGATTCTGGCAGTGATCGTGTGCTTCCTGGATATCGAGAATTGATTATTGTTCCCCGAATACATATTTGAGCGCGAGTCGGCCAAACTAGGGGATTTCCCAGATGTTTTCGAAGGAAACTCCGTCGAAACTTCGAGTGCCTTGAATTCCGGCTCGATTTGTGTGTATCGGTAGACCGATCAGCCATCGGAGCTGCAGCCTCTTTCATAGTCGGGCTGCGCCACGCATTCGATGAAGACCCCTGGTCAGAACTCTCAACAGAGGTGGATGTGAAACTCTGAAATCGTTTCAGGACGATCCTTCCACCCATCGGCAGGTCGGAGTTTGACTCATTCCTCTGATCCCGTTCGCGCAGGGTGCCCATCTGCCTACGTCCCAGCGTAAATGACTCACATGCGAAAAGTGTCCCTCGTCTTGCTCTAGCGGCTCCGACGCGTTGAGTCGTAGGATGCGAGGAGGGGAGTCGACTCCTCCTCGCATCCAAGGGGAAGGAGGATAGGATATTTTATGACCGCGGCCCATAGACTGTGTTGAGCTGTAATACATAGTTTCAGATTTACTCCGAGCTCGAGGTCGCGACCGATGGACGAGAAATCTTCCTCAAAGTCCTCTGGAAGACGGACGACGAAGGAGTCTGGAGAAGTCCGCCACATCGGAACCGTGTCAGAGGTTTCATTTGCTCCGTAATTCTGCTGTCCAAGTGACAGCGACATGACATCGCAGAGAGAGACATCTTCCCGCTTATTATCTCGATTATTAGTTGTCGGGAATCGCATCTCCAGAGACCGTCGACCACCATGTGCGATGGCGGGGATCACGGGAAGTCGATCCAGGATATGTGTTGAGCGAGAAAAGCGAAGCGCCGCGCCGATCGACGGAATAGTCCTCCCAACCACGGGCAAATCCACCGGGAGCAAAATCATGGAGTAACTATGGAAAGTCTGCTCGAGGTCGCTAATTCAGGAAGTTCTCGAAGATATTGGTATAGAAAATCGTCCCCAGACAGAACTATCAGGAGGTAATTCCGAAGAACAGGCGGAACCCATCGGACGCCGTCACGTAAACGCGCAACTCTCACGCCAGGGCGAGAAAGCAGACCGGGAGAAAGTGAGCGGGTTGCCAGGTAAAGGACCGAGAGAGAGCCGCACCACCGGTCCTCAGGCTGGCAGACCCGCGCTATGCGGTTGTATGAAATACGAGTATCACCCGCTAGGATTGAATTCACTGCTGTGCAAGGGTCGGAAGACCATTCGAATGCAATGACTCGCTCTTGGTAAGCGCCAGGGGGCGCCAGTGGTCGGGAAGCGACTCTCACTCGATAGTCGGACCCTTTCCTTGGGTTCGGACCAAGAGTTTTGCCAGCGCTTACTTACCCAGACACGACAACGTCGACAACCAGCTATACCGCTTACAGCCGCCGAGCTCAACCGAACAGACACACTGACACACGGTTCTTTCTGTACTTCTACAGCAACCTATTGGTCAGTTGAGGTCGTTCCGAGCCTTCTCTACGAGCCAAAGGAGGGAAACGAGTTTCCGCGGTGGTGAACAAGCATCAAGCCGGACAAAGCGATTCACACGGCGATAGAGACACGGAGTTTTCAAGTGACTTCGAAGTTTTGATGCGCGATTCGGATACCAAACTCAGTTTGAGGAATTGTGAAGTGTCTTCCCACTCGTCAACCCGAGACAGGTACGTACGAAATTCTCGTGGGTTTACTTTTTCAGCTTGCGATCTTTTCGGAACGAAGTTTTCAGCGGATCAAGCTATGATGCAAGGAGTGGCCGCTCCAAAACACTGTTTGATTCAATCAAGAGCAAGGCGCTCGAGAACTTTCTTCTTCCATAATTCGATAGAGAACGAGCTCTACAGCGTGCTCTTGACCTTTAAAACCGAGAATTCTCCGGCGCTAGTACTCGAATTGCTGCCGAGCTGTCGATTTCAGTGGTGCCGAGAATCCGCGCCGCTCATCAGAGAATCAGGCAAAGGCGAGAGGTTCTCCGGCTGACTGATGAGATTCGAAAAGTTTCGTTGGAGGCTTCATCGTACCAAAAGACATAATTTGAAGGATATTTGCGATCCTTCGACTGCTGACAAGCATCGGCACCGCACACGAAGAGCTCGGAGACGAACATTGTATTTCGAATCCTCGAATTCTCGACCGACTGATGCAGGCATCGTAACGTTAAATATATCTTTCGAGTCCTGAGAGAGCGACTTGAGCAAACAAGTTTCGTCTAATTAGGATCTTTGAGCGTTAGGAACGAAAACTTCCGACGCAGAATTGTTCATTGATGATGAATGGAAGAAGTTCGCGAGCCTGGACAGAATCAAATAATAATCCGTCTAAGTGGTTCGTCAGATTCGATTCGGGGCGCAGCTTAATCGGAAACTTCGATTATTGACTCGCAAGTTCCGCGAACGAGTGGTTCGACGGGCGGCTGCTCGGTAGCTTCGCTGTCGCTCTGCTCGTCAAATCACCCACTCGAGCGCTTCGCTCTATTCCCTCAAGTGGACGGACGCCGATGACGATGTTCTTGTTGAGAATTTTTTTTCACGGCAACGTTGTTTCTTTTCATTCTGCTCTAGGGGGAGTTCGATCTCGAGAGACAGATTTCAATTCTATGTCCCGCTATGCCTTACTCTAAAGCGATTTGCGCTCATATCGAGCGTGCAAAGGAGCTCCGCGAACAATGCTCATTGACTTCTATTCTATAATATCACGAAAACTAGTGGGAACAAGCCGTTCGGTTTCGGAAGGAGCACCGGTGTAAAAATAAACGACTAACTGAAACGCCGAAGAGCCGATAGAGGCTGAAAGTGTCTTAACAATGGTTACTGCAACGGAGCTTCGCCGGTAGCAATCGTTGCCGAGTCCATATGTGGAACCGACTGAGTGACTGCTCGCTCACTCCCGCTGAAGCGTCCAGCGCGGAGCATATCCTTGTGCTTTGCAACAGAATTCGTCAGCATCGAAGCAAAACCGAAAGGAAAAACGAAATTCTCGACGTCGTCGTTCCAGCGAAGCGGTGGGGAAGGAACGGTGGAAAAACCCAACAACTGGGAATTTTTGAGCTCGAGTTCGTCTCGCTGTTGGAAACAAGAAGGAGGGAAAAATCTTCCCCGGGAGGAACGAATTTTCCAAAGTTGTCGAGGTGAATTTGCGCACCGTTTCTTGGGGAAACGCGAACACTCACAATGACTTCGTGGGACTAGACTTGGATGAAGCGCAGTCTGCTCCGACGGATATCGTTGCCACAACGTGTTAATGGAGAGCTCCGTCACCGATATGAGAAACAAACGGAGACTTCTACGAATACAACGCGTCTACGTGAGTCCGGATCGCGGTAGTGTTGAAGCCGACAAGTCCGCAGATGACGACAATGCTATTCAACGTTTATTTATCCAACGTCGACCTAATTTGTCGCTGTTGTCGCCTTCGCCACAGTTGACAACGGACAAACCGCCCGTTACGACCGCGGTCTGAACAGTTCTGCAGGTTCATCCAACCGATCGCTGCCGAGCCGAAATCGTCAATACTAGGCTTCGTTGGAGAGCTAACCGTGGCGTGCTTGAGCACGCACGACTTCCCTTCAGATGAAATCTCCCGCCGGCATCGCGTCTCTTTAAAAGCGAGTTCGTGGGTTTCCGCAGCTGCATGTCAGCCTTGAGAGAGTTTTTACGCTCCGAGGCTTCCTCCCCGAGCGTTTCCCCCTCAGAGCTCAAGAACTTGAGGGTAAATAATGGCTTCAGCTTGTCGATTTACCTCCTCAATCCGTTGCGGGGAGTTGCGGAATTATCTGGGGTAGGAGCTGAAATTTCTGGGCAGAGAAACCTTGCGAAGGGAGTCGAGGACGCCTGGTCGACTCCTCTGATCGAGTCTAGGCAAGTTTCCTCGGCATGAAGATCGCGGCTCGGGTACGAATTCGAAGCTTTACGCGCCGTTCGCTTCACGTAAGCGTGAAGAGCTGTTGGACACACTCGCAGCTCGCAAGGTCAGCCCGGTAGTGCGTGCTCGTTTCGGACTCTGCACCCGTCTGATCATCCTTCTTGAGCTCGTCCATTTATCTCTTTCGGCTTCCATCCTCGACGTCCACTTTCTCGAGCCCAAGTAAATCGGAGCTCGAGAGTCCGAAAAGAAAGTGTTTGTATTCACAGGTCGCCCTCGTGGTTCCGAGTTTTTCGCGCTGGATGACCTCGCGGTTCGATAAGTTCACGATTTTCTCAGACGGGAATTTCTCGAGTTTTCATGCAAACGTCTCGAGCTCCTCAGAAAGAATCTGCCCTAGGAAAAATCGCGTCCTCTAAAACCGGATTCGGGATCTACGCCGATAGGAAGCCGGCGCGGCGTTGCAATCTCTGAGAGACAACAGTCGTCTTGGCTGGGCTTCCGACCGGCGCCAGCGGCGCATCGTTGCGGGTCCTGCGCAGAGGACCCTGCGTTGAAGTCGCTACGTCGAGGGTCCGAGCCAGACGGAGCGGCGCCTCCGACTTGGAGAAGGGAGACAGAATCGCTCTCGTCGTCGTTACTTACTTCGTTGTCCGATTCACTTTTTTCGGAGCTGTGTGAGCTCCTTTCGTTCGGAACTACTCAATGCCTCAGATGTGCAATTCGATTGCGTCGCTCAAGAGGCAATCAATCCGTTCGGAGAGGCTTGTTGAGAACCACAGCGGTAGCTCATCAATCCAGGAAAGCCCCCATTGGTCACGCCACAGGTTCATTCTGGATCCCGCCATTTTATCAAGGTTTCATTTCGAAAATTTCCAAAAAAGATTTCGAATGAGACTGACTCTTCGGTTCCGCAAGGAATTTCCCTCAGCGATTATCTGGAGAGAGAACAAAGGAGCAATAAAATCAAAATGAGCTTGGAATGTCCTTCATTCAGCGCTGGAGCTGAAGAGAATTTTTCGCGCCCCTGGATGACGGCGCGACAGGCACGACATCAGGGCTCGTCATAATTCTAAAGCACAGACTTAATTACGCATCACAGCCTTGCCGCAGAAGCCATAGAGGTGGTGTATGTCACCCTTAAAAAGCATCCTGACATATGTATTCACGTACCTTTTTTTGACATACATATTCGGCGGGACCGAGAGCGCGTAGTAGCTCCATCCCCGCCGTCAGTCGTCAGGAACGGTTTCCTGCGGCTTCCGACAAAAAAAAATTCTCACCGTCGCAGTCTCCGCAACCTTCTCAGCGTCCATTCGCGAGTTTCGGGGATTGTGGTTATTGAACTCAGGCAATCACCGGCATCGTCGAAGTGATGAATCATTCGGGGCCATTGTGTTCCGTTCGGATTACCATTCCGATCACTAGAGTCGAATCCAGAACGACTGGAGGAAGAAACGGATGTGAAAGAGGTCTTAGAGAGAAATCGTCGTTCCTGACTCTCCATCGATCTCGTTTCCCACGGACAGCTCTGGCGTTTGTCGAGCTCTAATGCTAAGAGGAGACCCTAAGCGGGAATCTACGAAAATCCGGGCTGGATAAGCTAGATCAGAGTCCCTAGGAGAGGTATCTCATCGGAACGATATTTGTGGTTTCCCGCGTCACGTAGAGCTCGTTCGAGGATTTTTATTGGTCAGAGATGAGTGTTGCTGGAGATGGCCCCTCGCATTTCCCGCGTAGATTGCTCGTAGTTTTTTTCTCCGCTGGAATCACCCGTATCGTTTTTTATCTATGATACAACCCGCGTCGGAAGCAATCAGGAGTTTTACGCACCTGACAGAACGAGCCTATACGTCGGACCTACGGCGTTCGCCATCGACGATGTGTGCTCGCGGCAAATATCCGCCGTCACTTCGGGAATCGCTCCATGCGGTGGCTCCTGGCGCACCTCGTATGGAGTAAACGAGATTAGATCGATTTATCGAATTCCCGGGAGATTATAAGCGGGGGAACTGTTTCCCCCTGGAATTCCCGTATTGGTCAAAACTCCGTTCGCTTCCTCTCGATCAGCCCGCCAAATTTCCCCGAGTGGGGCTGCTCTACCACAAGCATCCGTGGACATTGATCCGACAGAGTCTTCCCCACTCCAATAGAGCACAGGATTGTGGCGGCGGCAGCAGCAGCCAACTTGCTGCCACCGGGGCGCGAACGACCGCGTCAGCTGTGCGAGATGAATTACCATCGTCATACGACATCACCACCCCGACACTTTTAGCGCGGCCTGAGAGAAAAGGCGGAGGGGAAAGAGGAAATAGGATGAAAAATCTTGTTCGCTCGTTCGGAGCGGACGCCGACGGGGATAGGTCACGGGTATGGAAGCCGAGTTCGGGCTCGAGCTCGGGGCGAACGGAAAAAATCTAATCCAAAGGCAAGAGGGCACGCCCAGAGACGCCCTGTGGTACGCAAACTCAGCGGGACGGGTGTTACCGCACAACATTTGACAAGTTCCGCCGACGGGTCGAACTTGTTACGGCGGCTGGGCGAAATTCGGACTCTGGGCGTGCAGTCCCACCACCAAAGCGGGGTAAAAGCGAAGTTGGCTTGAGGAAAGTTGGAGCCACTTGTACGTGGCACCATGTACGTCTCCCCGAGACGCAGCTCAGGGGATCCGAGCCGCATTTGCCGCCGAAGGCGTATCCTTCACGCTAGTGTCTGCTCTGTTTGTCGTCGAGTCGGTTCTCTGGAGCTTCGCTCGATAGCGCTGTGTCGACGATTGAACGGCTGAAAAGTTTGAGAATGCGAT